GTCCTACACGGCTCTCTGCGTTGCACACCTACAATCCCAGCTCTCAGGAAGCTGAGCAGGAAGCTCATTAATTGGGGGCCAGCCGGGGCTACATGGCAAGATCCTGTCACAAAGCAAAACTGCTTCTTAGGTCGAGCCTCAGCCATAGTTTCGCAGACCTAGAAGCCGCCAACATTCAGAACAGTGTTCCACTAATGAAGGTCAGAGGTCAGGGTGGAGCCCACTTCTCTGAGGCTGTCTCCTGGGGGGCAGAGTCTGCGGAGAGGGGTGAGTTAAGTGTGCCCCTAGAATGGATGTCCCCGGATGAGTGTTGTGGAGCGGGAGGGACCCACCTGGGACCTGTGGTGGACACTGCCGCTTAGCTGTGAGCTGGTGCCTACCCTCCAAAGCCACTCACAGCCAGGCGTGTCCCTTCTCCAGCAAAGCTCATACACTGATGGGACAGACCAGATCCACGTGGCAATCCCCAGAGTCACAGATGGAAGGAAGGACTGGCCGCCAGCCTCTTGGGCAGCTCCTGGGTACAGATATTATACTGAGCTTGCCCAGGAACAACAGTTTTTGCCTTTTGGGATGTGTGTGCGTGCGTGCGTGCATGCGTGCGTGCGTGTGCTCATTTTTTTATGTGAGCCATGAGTGGTAGTGCAGACCTTTTAATCCCAGTACTGAGGGTAGGGGGTGTCTCTGAACTCTAGGCCAGCCTGGTCTACAAAGTGAGTTCTGGAACAGCCAGGGCTGCACAGAAAAACCCTGTCTTAAAAACAAAACAAAACAAAAACCCCACTTTTATTTATTTATTTGCTGGAGGCTAGGGGCAGGAGCATCCTTCAACATATGGATGGTCGTCAGAGGACAGCTTCCAGGAGTCCGTTCTTTCTTTCCATTATGTGAGTCCTGAGGGTCGAGCCCCAGGTCATCAAACTTGGTAGAAGTCACCTTTATCCAATAAAGCATCACAATGGCCCTCCCTCCTCTTGCCTCAGCCTCCTGAATGCTGGCTGAGATTACAGGCATGCAAACCCAAGGCTACCCAAGAATTTCACACCTGGGAGGACCACTTCCCCTATCTCAGGTTCCAACAAATATGATAACCATTTTAAGTCTGCCAGAGCTTGCTTGCTTTTACCTTTGAAGCAGAGAGGATCCATTTCTTGTTGTCGCTAACGGCAACATCCATCACCCAGTCATCATGGCCCTGAACAAAAAACATGATTCAACAAAGACCTGGGAGAAATGCTTTATAAGAACAATGGGAACAAAACGTCAGCAAACCATAGCGCATCTTTGGCTCCATCCACCAGCCATGAGGACGGGTGCACCTGCCTCTATCAGGTTTCTGTATTTGCTTTTTAAATCACACCACAGGGCTTGGCAGAAGAAGGAAATAAAGAACTACACTCCTCTCTGGTCCCAGGACTGTGCTTGCCCATGTGGCCCAAGAAAGTGCCTCTCAGAGGCTCCATCAGGGAGGGGCTTTGGGCTTTGAGGGACTGCAGAGTCACCCACGGGTAGCTTAAGCAAATGAGGGGCTGTTTTCCTCAGGTCAAAATAAAACCGGAGCCAGAGCTGGTGCGGTAACGGTGGCTCACACTTGGGAGGCAGAGGCAGGTGGATTTCTATGAGTTAGGGGCCAGCCTGGTCTACAGAACGAGTTTCAGGACAGCCAGGGCAACACAGAAATACCCTGTCTTGAAAAAACAAATTGGTAATAATTATTATAATAAATAAAACCAGAGGAGGCGAATGCCACTGCTGTGATCTTTGCCTTTGCCTCAGCATCTGTCACCTCCGTCA